GTTTCCAACCAATCTCGCTCCGCGCCGAGCTCGACTAGATCGGCAGGTAGAGGCGGAAAGATCGCCGCGAAGATACTCCCATTCACCAGTAAAGGAAACTGTGTCGACTTGCGCGGAAAAGCCTTCTTCATCACGCGTAGCAGTGCATTGCGAATAGAGTAGAGCTTCTTGCCCTCGCCGTTGCAAATACACCGCCCGAACTTCCAGCAACGCATCTGCTTGTTGAAGTCCTTCGGCTGGTCTGCAATCCTCTCGCAATCGTCATGGCACACGATGTTGTGACGACGGTACCAACTCGCCGTCAGAGCTGCCGTATTCGAGGTGCCTCCCGAACTTCGCGTCGTCTGCGACGCGTAGGTGGCCTTCGCAGCCGTCGAGCCGATGTCGGGGACGAACTCCAGGTCGGAGCACGCTCGCTCAGGTAGGCGCTGAAGATCTTCAGCGACAGCTGCGAGAGGAGGGACGTCGCCGACAGCGAGTCGAAGAGCTGCCTCGTCCACCGCGAAGGTCTTCAACTTGGAGACCTTATCCCTGCAGTCCTTGGCCTTCATCCTGCCAATGTTGTACGTTGCGGATCTAGCAGCAGCCAGCGCAGATGCGTTGTCAACCTGCGTGGCGACGATCTGGTTCGCTGCAACAACCTCCATCGACGGGCCCTCGCTACTCGCAAGGCTGCCCAATTGAAGTGTGAGTTGGGCCCGACGCTCTGCGGCAATCAGTCGTGCCTCTTGCTTCGAGTTGTTCCCGAATGAGCTGACATCTGGATGCTCTCGGTGCGCGGCCGTCGCAGCGCGTCCAGCCGTGATGTACTTCTCCTTCTGGTCGGCGTCGAGTTGTCGGTATTGCACCGCCAGCTGCGCGAAATCCTTGAAAACCCCAGGCTCGCTCATGGCAACGAAAGCTCTCCAGGCGCCGCCGCCTCCCCGAGGCTTGCGAGGCTCATCGTCCTCCGCTGGCTCTGCGCTGTCTGCGTCCACGAAGGTCGTCCGAGTAAGGCCTGCAGAGTTTTTCGCCCGCGACCTGCAGCGGGAGGCAACCCACTCCGCCGAGGCGGCAGCGATCTCTATGGTGTGGGTCTGGTGGCTCGCAGCGACCACGAGGCGCCGAATGCTGGCGTGGAGGGCTTCGATGTGGGAGATATCCAGCTTCGCCATGGCAGCGATCGACAGCAGGCGCATCCTGGCGTCGTCTGCGCTGAGGTCGGGGTTGTCTTGCAGGAACTGCTTCGTGAACTTGCCGAGGACGCACTCGCTCTCCGACTCGATCGTCGCGGCCATGTGCGGGTGGTGCAGTACCAAGAACAAACGGTAGGGGTACTTCTGATGCAATTCCCGCACGAGCTCTGCCACCAAGCACCCAGCGCGAGATAACATCTTGAACGCTAACGCATTCGTCTGCTCCGTGCACTCCTCCTCCAAAACGAGTGACCACATGGCAGGTTGGGTGAGTAGCGTTTCTAGCTTCTCGGAAAACTTGTCCTCTATCGTCCCCTCGGCGGCGACCACAATTGGATAGTCCCTGCCAGTAGTAATGTTTCCAGCCAGAGGTCCAGCATTCGATGCAGAGGCCAACTCGCGAACCCGCTGCTCCCTTTCCCATTTTGGACTCCCCAGGTCCAGAAGGCGGCCCATGATGTCGGATAGTGGAACCATCGTCAACCTCATGATGATAAGCGGTGTCATCGGCTTGCTCAAGACCCAATTGATGCCGACTTGCCTGTCCTTCGCGTTTTCCTCTGCCCTGAACTGGCACACTGGCTGCTGGCGCAAGTCCTCGTCGCGTCGATCTCCGTCGGCACCCCCACTGTCATCCCCGACGGTTGCAGGGTCACCTTCGCCCTCGCCAGCTTCGCCGTCGCCGTCTCCACCATCGCCAGAGGGCAGCATGAGCAGCGGTACTTCGGCGTGCGGGGCGGCGCGCATCGCCGCCGATGCATTGCTAGAAGCCTTCGCGCCCATGCTCTTCGCCCAGATGGGGTACGCCTTAGTCAGAAGCCCGTGACATAGCTCCTGTGACAAGAATTGATCGATGCACGCGTCTGCACCCGTCCACTTGTCCCGCGGGTACAGCTTAAAAGCAGAGGACGCGAATACGAACAACAAACCTTCGGTCACTGATGTCTTGTACTTCGCCTTGTACGCGTCGAGGTCGACACCGTCAGGAAACGCTGGTACATACACCTCCACGTTGGATCGATTCCTCCAATCGCCATTCGGAAACTTGTTCAAGGCAACGAACTTCTGGATGACGAGCGAGCCCGATGAGCTCAACAGCCTGAGCGCCATCCTCCTGTAGAAAACTGCCTCTGGCGGAGGAGCTCCAACTTTGAACAGAATCATGTTCCCGATGACCTCGCGAAGAACTTGTCGAAATGAACCCATGTGTCCCGCCAGCTTGAGTGACAGCGCGCACCTCACCATCCCAGTAACATTCTCTGTGACAAGCTTGAACGAGTTCTTGTGCACCAAGCTGGTGATGTGAACTTCGCAGTGCAGGTGTAGGTGCTGCCAGCCTTGTCTGTCTTTTTCTGCAATGCCACGTTCGCACTTGATGCAACCCCCACCCTGGTCGGTCGTGACGAGACGAACCCGTTGTTCATGCAGCTTGTGCGCCAAACTCACTGACCAGAGCAATCTGAGGGCCCCGCGAGTGGCCTCGCCCGTGTTGCGATCAATTACTACCAAGTGGTTGAGGGTAGAGGAATGCACGAAGATGTATCGCTTGGCACCGCCGCTCTCTACCTTCAACAAGCATGCATATCGAGAATCAACTTGGAGCATCTTGGCAATTGACGCTTCAGTGCGACTTTGCTGGATGAACGCTGGGAGCTCCGAAGGAATCACGACACCATCCTTGACGCACTTGGGGTTCAACACTGCAGCGAAGTCCTGAAGTAGCTCAATATGGTTGTTGAAACTGCAATCTCTGAGTTTGAACGGCATCGGACTCTCGTCGTAAAACTCGCACTCTATATAGTAAAGTGGCTTCACCCTGTCGCAGGATACCAAAGACTTCTCTAAGCTATGGCGGCGAAGTCTGTCATATACAATTGCAAATTCCGCCAACTTTCTGGTGATCTTGACCGTCTTCATGCGAGATGAACCTGCCAGCTCCGCCTCGCTCGTTTTGGTCATCATTTGAAACGACACAGAATCGTCGAACATGCGCTTGGCAACCGTATACACCGCATCGCCATGAGGAACATCATACTTGCCATTTGTGTGCACTGCCCCGATGAAAGCGTCCACGTGCTTGTAGATCGGGCTAAGGACGAAGGGCACGGGCGACATCTGAACTATATCCTGAAGCATTCTCGGGCCGATGCTTGTCTCGTCCAACCTCCGTTTCTTATTCTGGCTGGACGAACTATTCGCATGGACAGGCACGTGGACTCCAGCGCCAGGGATCTGGAAAGGGACAACCGCCAGGCCGTGGAGAGGCGCGCCATCCATGCGCTCCCACGGAGCAACTGATGGTGTTAATATGGAGTGGCGCGCGAGGCCGCGCGCACAAAATATGGATGATATGAAGAAAATCAACCTTGCGTACACGGTCATGGCCGCACTCGCCGCTGCAGCACAAATGGCTCTGGCGCCCCTGGGAACCTCAGGAGGGCGCCCTTGGAGACCTTAGGGGGGGCTCTGGCGCCCTTGGTGACCCTGGTTTCCCGTCAACGCTGCCCTTGGAGACCTTGAGGGGGCTCTTGGCGCCTAGACCTTAGACGGCCTCTTCGGGGCCCCATCCAGACTCTGGGGAAAGAGCTGCCGTAATTCGTCCCGTGGGGCCTTGCTGGGGGGTCATGGCATAGCATAGAATAGCGCGCCATAGCAACACAATAGAAACGACGCAATGGAATTCATAGCGAAGTATATCTGTGAATTCAAAGACACGGCACGACGCAACAGTACCAATGATGGCGTAGCGCAGCACAACATAGCATAACTTATCACACTGCCGTAAAAATAATACGCATCGCACGCACTACAATCGAAAGTTTCCGAGCAACGAGTAAAAAAAGAGTACTTGGGGAGTATGTTGGCAAGGGTGAGGCGGGAGTATTTTTTGAGTATTTCCTAACATGTCCCCCTGTAGGGGACGCAAACGTCTCGGGACTAGGGTAGGTTGGAACATCATAAAGCGAGGTAGGAGGAGGAAGGAGACGCGCGGGCAGTGCTCTACTCCAAGCGGGATCCTAGCACATGCGGGTTCGAACAAAAACGAGCGATCTTGCAGTGATGTCGCACAATTCTGGCGAGAGCGTGCTTGCATCCTCGCAGATTGTAACATCCATGTGTCGCACAATGCACCCCTGGCATCTCGGATGTCGAATGCAGACCTCGCCGCACCGCCTCAGCCACTGCACCTCCAGTCCTGGAACTGCGAGGATGTCTCAAGCGAACTGGGCCAGACAACCTCTCGCGCGGCAGCTGGGAATTCAGAGTCGCGAGGATGTCTCAAGCGACGCGGGCCCATACCGCCTCAGATCTGGTCGCCTCCGCACACGGACTTGTGAGGATACCTCAGACGATCAAGGCCGAGCCACCTCACAAACTTGAGAATGGCTCGACGCGCGGGTCCCTCAGGTGGAGCCAATTCTGACAACAACAAAGTGCCCCCCAACAATGCCACCGCGGCATTGGTCGGGTAACCCGGAAACACTCGACATGAAAATCATCATGACGGAACCAAGCAAGAGGCTCCCATACACACAGTCGCATACACAGATGTAGAAAGAGAGAGAGGGAGGGACAGCGAGAGGGAATGAACCAGAGAGGGAGCGGGCAAGCAAACGAGATAGACATTATACACATTTGTATATATAGATATAGCAAGTGCGTATACATACATATATTCATACACATCTATATATGTGTGTATGTATATGTGTGTAGAGAGAAAGGGAAAGAGAAAACAAACAACAAGTATGAATCCAGAAAGAACGGGAACGGAACGCTCAAGGGACAAGTCATGGTGCAGGATCGCACGCATCGCCCGCCGTCCTGGGTGTGGGCCTGGTCCGCATTGTCCCGCTGCAACACCGAGCCCGTGGACCTCAGCTCCCCCAGGCGAGCCTCCGGGGCGGAAGCGCACAAACGAATTCGCACCGCAGTGGTCAAAGCACTACGGCCAAGGACTATTCGGCAAGATCGGAAAGAGTGTCCATTTGAGTCAAAACGCCGCCTGCCCAACAGTGGCCGCTGTCGGTTTTGGATCCCGACTACCGTGGGGCATCGTGCCCTTTCTGTTCAGTGCCCATCTCGGGCGTCTGGACTTGTCGCTCACGATGGAGGCCCCCTGGTTACGCCATGCCCTGCAAGCGGATACAGTGTCGCTCCGCTCCGCGGGGCGGGAGGCTGGGGAAAGTTTGGAGAGCTGACGCTTTCGGTAATGGGACGTCGTTGGCGCGTCGCGCCGAAACGCGGTGGGCCAGAACCGGCGGTCCGAGATACAAACCATACGCTTTCAAACGTAATCCAGCACGCAAGACTTCCGTGCAGAAGGCCGCAATGACAGAACCACGGGGGCGGCCTACGCATCTGAACCATACTTGCCGCGGCCTCACACCGCACACCTTTGAACACGGCGACTGAACTGAAAACTAGTCGGGCCAACCGTAGAGTGAAACCGCCACAATGCCTGCCATTGCACCCACGACTCGGCAACAACTCGTATGGCCACGTGATACCCTTCCAAACGGACACATGCAACGTTGCCAATCGTCCGCGAGGTGCTTGGTCGTGCGTACCAGGTGAAGAGAGGGGGGAGCAGTAATACTGGGGAGGGAAGGCGACGGGCGAGGGGGAGCAGAGACAAAGGAACAGTGAGGGGGAGGGGGGAAGATGGGGGAGCCGACGGAAGAGAGAGAGTGGGAGCGACGAGGGACGGCTGCGGGAGTGGGGAAAGATGAAGACGGGGAGAAAGGAGGGAGGAGGGAGGGAGGCAGGAGAGAGGACGGAAGAGAACCGAGGTGCGTGCGCGAATCATGCCTGACATCCTGCCCCTCCCACCGTTGGCTTCCCATTTCGCTGGTGATTTCTTTATCCGCAGACGGGTGTTCTGTAGGACCTGGTTCCCGACAGGGACCTCACCATGTGATATGCAATCAGGGAAAGGAGCTACGCATGTACACTGAGGGAGGAGGAGGATGAGGAGGCGGAAACAGGAGGATTAGAAAGTGGGCAAGGAGGATGAGGAAGGGGAAGGAGGAATAGGAGCACCAGCAGCAGGAGTAGGAGTATCGGGAAATACAGGAAGACTATGGGAATGCGGAGGAGGCGAAACTGGGGAAGCGACGACGAGCAGGAAGAAATCAGAACGACGGGGGCACATTGTCGATCCTGAATTGAGGTCACAACTAGCGCCTGGTGTGGGGGGAATTAACTACCCGAGACGTACCCAAGCCCTTCTCCACTGAAGGTGACTGCTCGTATGAACCTTCCATACCAAAAAGACATTGCGATAGACGCAACGCTCTGACATCATTCTGCCGTCTTGCTCCCCCGCACCCGCCTCCGCCGTCGTGCGTTCTTTCTCTGCCTGCTCTCCCGCCTGCTGGTCCCCAGGCTGTCGCCCGGTCTTTCACGCCCCTCCCCTGCTCTCAGTGGCCGTCCGTGTCGCTCGCGCTCCCTCCCTCCACTGGCTCCGGGTTCGTCCTGGCTCCTGGGTGTCGTCCCCTCCTCTGTAGAGGTCAAAACATCCACCCCCCATAATAACCACCCCGACACGCGAACAGGGCAGGGCTGTTTAGTAAACGCCCAGGGCCGTTTAGTGAGCGCCAATTGTCCGGTCCAGGTGGTTTTTCCTCCCTTGACTCTGCCCCCTGCTGCCGTTGCTCTTCCGGGTCGTCCACCTTGGGGGGGGGGCCAGGTGATGTTGTGCTCGGCTGCTGTCGCGTCGGCGCCACTTCTCTCTCTAAACTCCTTCGCAGCAAAACAGCGACAGTTGCGCCAGTTCGCAGCCCCCGAGGGAGCCGCGAGGTTTAGAAGTAACGTGCCTCACAAAAGCCCACGACAGTGGCGAACCACTGGGACTGCCGACGGTTGCGCAATTCGCAGCCCCCGAGGGATCCGCGAGGCCTCGGCTGGGTGCGCTTACAACTCCACTCCGCTGGACCTCCTGGGAGCCCACGAGAGTGGCGACTGCTGCGCCAGCTCGCACCCCACCAAGGGAGCAGCGAGCTCTCGGCTGCGTGCGCCTGGCTCCGCGTCGAGCCGCATCGCCGATGCATCCGCGGTTTGGCGCGATCCTTCGACCCTACCAGCTCGGACCCCGCCCGGATGAGGAAGAGAAGGAGGATGAGGAGGGAGGGGCGGAGGGGGAGGAAAAGAGGAGAGGAGGAGGAGGAGGAGGACGACGAAGAGGAGAGAACGCCTCCGCGGCACCAGCCGCGGAGGCGTTCGGCCGCGTCGCGAGAGCGATATTGGGCCGCGCTCGAAAGGCTGGAAAGGAGGACGAGGAGGAGAGAACGAGGAGGAGAGAACGAGGAGGAGGAGGAGGAGGAGGAGGAGGAGGAGGAGGAGGAGGACGAGGAGGACAGAGCCCGCGCCACTTGGGCTCCGCCCGCAAGGGCCGCGCATCCGCGGGCGGCCCGGAGAGCGGCGGCCCGGAGAGCGGCGGCGGCGCTCCTGCAGCAGGTCGCGCTCCTGCCGCAGCTGCGCCGCCTCCTCCTGTCGGCGAGGCCGGCGCCCGCTCCGCGCGGCCCTCGCGAGGGAGGAAAGGGAAAGCTCGGGGCGGCTGCTTCACGTAGCAGCCCGCAGGTGCGACAAAGAGGGAGGTGGCGGGCGCGGGCTGGGTCGCGGTCCAGGTCGCGGGTTGGTCGAGAGGGGGGTCGCGGGAGAGGGCGACGACAACAGCAAGTGTCAACGCTCGGACTGCGGGCCTGGTCCACGGTGCGGCTGCTCACGTCCTCTCCCTGTGCGTGAACCCCTGCACTGCCGACCCGTGGGCCCGCGATCCTCCCCCCCGACACCGACATCGACACTGACACCGACACTACAGCGTCGCGGTCGCTTCGGAGAGAGACATGGAGAGAGAGGAGGAACGCTACGCATTCATTTCCTTACCTTACCCCTGAAACGACATCCAGAATCCTGATGAAAGGTCTAAAAAAATCCCCAGGGATCCTTTAGGACCCTCAAAGATCCGGAAGGATCCTGAAAGATCCAGAGGCTCATCAAAGATCCTGGGGGGCTTGCCCGGACCCTGAGGAATCCTCAAGGATCCTGGGGGATCTTATGGGATCCTGAGGACTTCTCAAAGATCCTGAGGGATCCTGAGCAATCCTCCAGGATCCTGGGAGACCCGGAAGGACCCTGAGGGCTCCCCAAGGATACGGAGGACTCCGCACGGATCCTGAGGAATCCTGCGGACTCCTGAAGGATCCTGAGGGCTCCTGAACACTCCCCAATCATCCTCAGAGATCCTGAGGGTCCCTAGAAGATCCTCAGGGATCCTGAGGACTCCTCGAGAATCCTGAGGGGTCCTGAGGGACCCTGAGAACTCCTTTTAGGTTCTGAGGGTTCCTGAGGATTCCTCAGGGATCCTGACGAACCCGGGGAACGCAACAAGGACCTCTGAATGCATTCATCTGCGAATGTGCGGGCCGTTTTGGAGATATTGTCGTGTGGATATGTAGACCCCTCAGCATCTTGATGCCTGCACGTGCGTCTGGAAGGACAAGTTGACGTTTTGGTGTGGGTTGTTGCCTGTGTGGGCCTATGCAAGTACACACCGCTGGATGTACGAACTGTGTTTGCTTATGATTCTCTGGATGTGCAACTATCTGGATGTATTTTTGTTCGGACCCCTGGATGTATGGACGCATGGGCCAGTGGATGTAATGACAACTGGGTGTATCCCTGTGCGGATATTTGAGCTTGTGAGTGCACACGCAGGGAATATGTGTATATGTCGTTGTGGATGCGAGAACACAGGAACGTAGTATTGTAATCATACGTCCATGGATGCATGGACGTATTACCCCACTAGACCCATGCCCATGAGCAGGGGACCTCCGCTCAAAACATCCACGCATTTAACTCAAAGACAAGGCTCACGATAGACTTCCTTGGGATTCAGGCCCCGACGTGTAATCAAACCTGTGCTGTTTTAAATAATTGTCAGATGACAGCCTCGCAAAACCAACATGATCTGCAAGCCCCATAGTAAAAGCGCTCCCGCTGGAGACTTCCTTCCAAACAACTCGCAGACGAGGCTCCCGCTCGAGACTTCCTCGGGATTCGTGTGCTTTTGCATGGCTTTCTGATGGCCGCATAGGATTGCCGATATGATCTGGAAGAGGCCCTTGCTTGAGGCTTCCTTGCCATTCACTAACAGACGAAGCTTCCGCTCGAGACTCCCTGGGGATGCAACCTGACAAGTCTCACAAAGTGAGCGTTTTTTGATTCGGCGTTTCGACATTGGGCGGAAGGAGAGGGAGGGGGGGGGTCTGGCTCTGGACCTCTGCTTCGTGCGACTGTTTGCAGCACTTTGTCCTATGAGGGGAGACTCCAACTGCTGAAACGGGCGCCCAAAACAGCCAAGATCTACTCCAGGGGGGGGAGGGGGGGGGAGGGGGGGGTGGGAGGGCCCGCGCCGATCGGCAAAACAATGAATACAAAAAAGATCACCAAAGCACGTGTTGTTCGCTTGGTCTTCCGATGGCCTCACCGGCTTGCCAGCAGGACCTGCGGGTCCCACGGAGAATGGGGCTCATGCCCGAGACTACGTCGGGCGTGTCCACCTGCAGGGGGATTTCTACAAGAAAAAAAAAGTATTACAAAAATGCTCCAAGATGGTCAAAAAATGGTCCCCATTTGTTTTAAGTATTTTTGCAAATTCCTCCTGCAGAGGGACGGGCCCGACCTACCTCGAGACCTACCCGCGCAATTTCCTCCAGGACGAGGCTCCCACCTGAGACGCCCTTCGGGGTTCAGGCTCCCAAGTGTCACCGAACATGCACTTTTCCTAAATCAGTGCTTGCACTGAAGGGGTCCTGGCGGGAATGGGAAGATTTGGCGAACATTTCCCGCCGACTTTGGTGGCCGACTTTGGTTCCCGGGTTCCCGGTTCTGGTTTCCCGGGTTCCTGGTCATGCATTGGTTCCAGTCCGATTTCGGTGGGTTCCAGGTTCCTGGGTTCCCGGTCGATTTCCTTATCGATCTCTTGATCGATCCCATTTCAAACCATCCACTGGTTGCGGTTGTTCTCTGGTGTAATTACATGGCTTCCCGCAGAACGTACCAACATGATCTGCATGATCCCATAGAGAGAGGGCTCCAGCCAGAGACTTCCCCACAAATCACTCACAGACGAGGCTTCCGCTCCAGACTTCCTCGGGATTCAAGCTTCATCAAGCATGTGGTTAACATGGTTTTCTGTTGCATTACCAACCTGATCTGCGGGCCCAAAGGGAGGGGCTCCCGCTCGAGAATTCCTCGCAATGTCCTCACTATTTCACAGGATTTGTGCTCAACCCACATACCCCAGGAGGCACCCCGAGAAGGATGAGTATAGCATTTCACCACAGCATTTCACAATAGTTGTGCTCACCCAGCGCCTCCAGGAAGGCCCCCCCTTCAGGATCCAATATACTAGTTCACCATACTGTCGCAGGATTTGTGCTCATCCACACCTGAAAGGAGACACCCCAAGAGGGATGAATCTAGCATTCGACCATCGTATTTCACAGGGTTTGTTTCCATCCAATGCCTCCAGGGAGGACCCCCGAAAGTATCCAATGTACAAGTTCACCATAATATGTCATAGGATGTGTGCTCGTCCCGCATCTCCAAGGAGGCGCCCCGAGATGGACCAACGTATCATTTCACCATCGTTTATCATAGGAGTTGTGCTCTTCCCACATCTCCAGGCAGGCCCCAAGATGGATCATGAATGCTCCATCATGGAGGCGCTTGAAGACCGATCCAGACAACCTAACATCGATATCCCCAGCAAGACATGCATATCCTTCCTGGACCCCGAACTTGTTTTATCTCTGCGGGGTTACTCTCGCCGGCTCAGGGTTACATATACGACTTACAAATGCCCGCATGATCATCTTCTGCAACTCGCTCATCGCCCGACCAACCCTCATCATCCTCCTTGCCCTCCTTCCCTACCCGCCCCTCCTCCCGGCGTCCTGTCCCACCTGCGGGGAGATCGCCCCCCGAGGGGTGGTGAAGCTGCGAGGCTCGCCCTAGGTTGGGGCACGACCAGAAGGGAGCGCAACGCCAGACGCGCCTGCCTGGCCAGCTCAGGCCCTCCAGGGTGACTGGAGGCCTCCTAGATAGGGGTTCGAGTAGATGGGGTCGGAGGATCGCACCGCATCGCCAATGCATCGCCGTTGCATCGCGGATGCATCGGCGACGTCGGCGATGCATCAGCGCCATCGACGTGGGGGAAAATCGAACTCCACATCGAGCCGCACCGCCGATGCATCGGCGAGGCATCGCGATCCTCCGACCCCACCTACTCGGACCCCACCTGGGAGGCCTCGAGTGACTGGGGGTGGCCAGGGCCAAGGCTGTGGGTCGGACCGAGGCTCGGCGGACATCGTCGCCAGCGTCGAACCCATCGTTGTTAGCGTCGCCGTCGTCGTCGTCGCCGTCGTCGTCGTCGTCGTCGTCGTCGTCGTCGTAGTCGTCGCTGACGTCGACAGCACGAATGTCTCCCGCCAGGCCTGGAGGCCTGGCACCGCACGCAGGCGCATCCATGGTGGGCGCGAGCCCGCTGCCCCCGCGGCGCTGGCCCACAGGCCCTCCGGACGGCGGCGCTCGCGGCGGGGCGGCGATAGCCCCGAGGGGCATTCCCAGCGCAGCCGTAGCCGTCATCCTCCACCTCCTCCTCCGCCAGCTCCTCCGCCTCCTCCTCCGCCTCTTCATCCTCCTCCGCCTCCTCCTCCGCCTCCTCCTCCGCCTCCTCATCCGCCTCCTTCTTCTCCTCCTCCTCCTCCTCCTCCTCCTGCTCCTCCTCCTCATCCAGCTCCAGCTCCTCCCCCTCCTGAGGAGGAGAAGGAGGACCTCCTCCTCCTCCTCCAGCTCCTCCCCCTCCTGAGGAGGAGAAGGAGGACCTCCTCCTCCTCCTCCTCCTGGCCCTCTTCCCCTCATCGTGACAGTCCCACTCATTCTCGCCCCTCCCCCAATCAACCCCCCTTTCCCTCGACCTGCCCCTGCCCCTGCCCGCTCCGCTCCTCACCCGCTTCTTCTTCTTTTTCTTCTTATTATTATTATTATTGTTCTTCTTCTTCTTCCACCTCATTCTCCTCCTCCTCATCCTCCTTCTCCTCCACCTCGTCCTCGTCCTCCTCCTCCTCCTGCTCCTCCTCCTCCTCCTCCTCATGCATATTTACTCCCCCCTCCCTGTCTCCCTCTATCACTCCCTCCCTCCCTCCCTCGCTCCCTCCCTCCCTCCCTCCCTCCCCTCCCTCCCCTCCCTCCCTCCCCTCCCTCCCTTCTCTCCCTCGTCTTCCCTCCTCCTCCCCCCTCCCTCCCTTCCCTCCT